TTTTTGTTCGTCTCGGACCCATGACCTTTTATCTCCATTTTAAAATACATCCGTAGGTGGATGCTGCTGAAAAACGTCGATCAAAGGTGGAAAAATATGTAAATTTGCAGTGTTGAAGGACATTGCAGCTTTGGAAGTCACCAAACTTTGGCGGCCATTTTCTCGCTATGTTTACCTGAGACATTCAGCAGTCGCAAATATCACGACTACTATTCACGATATATGGATATTTTTCTTCAAAATCAAGGCACATCAACCAGCTTTATAATCATATCAGTTGCTCCATATGGTCAAGAATTGACGAGGGCCTGATTCCACTGCATAACTATAATACAAACTCTTTCGTCCTACAAATCTACTTACTATTGTCGACAGGTCACAATAAATGTTTCCTTCTAGAATAGGAAGAACTGAGGAGATCCTGAAGTAAGAAATCAACCCAAGAGTAACTGTTTCTGAATTTACGCCTACTGTATAATACACCAACGACAGAGGAAGGAATCATTGGACTTGCAGTAAGCCTTGATTCAGACTTACTTTGCATTGAAAACAACGACATTTATACTTATATTATAATTAGATTTACATCTATATACATTTTAGTACATCCAAAATAGTACTATTCTTCAAAACCAAAAACTTGTGACACTGATGTTTATAATGAATAAGCTAATTTACCCTCTCCGAACACATATATCAAATGACAAAAAACTGCCGCAGAAAATCTGCTTTCGCAAAGGGTAACTTGAGCTCAATCACTACTAATTTGATCCCTGTGGTTTAATAAGAGAATTGATATCAAATGATCAGAGAGGTCAGGTTCTGGACGGCTGCAGCTTGAGCAGTCCCAGCATCGACCACGTCCGTAAACATGATACCTGTAAACCAATAAAAATAATATGCATTTTAGTATAACTTTAACTCTCTATTGGTTTAAATATAGATTTTTTTTTAAACCGGAAAGACCAAGGATAGGATACGTCAAAACAAATATCAGACATGCTCTTTGACGTATAGATGTTCCTGTGTATTTTTGTGGTATTGTAATTGCCTCTGCCGTGGTTTTTCCACTATCCCAACCTCCCCTCTTCTCCCACCCACCCTATCCTCAACCCAAGAAGAAGAAGAAGAAGAAGAAGAAGAAGAAGAAGAAGAAGAAGAAGAAGAAGAAGAAGAAGAAGAAGAAGAAGAAGAAGAAGAAGAAGAAGAAGAAGAAGAATCTGTTTTGCTCACAGCACATTCTGTTGTCAAACGTTCTACCATATGGCAGATATACAGATTTCAACATAAGGTAAGGATCAATTGCAAGCACTCTGAATGGTCTTCTTGGGTCAACCGGCACAGGGGGGGGGGGGGGTTCTTGGACTGATCTAGTGCCTTGATGGCGCTGCCTCAAGCGGACAATGACAGAGTGTGACACAGCAAGCCTTCTTGCAACCTCTCGGGATCCAACTCTATCCTGCGCCATGCCATAGCTCTGACACGATCAAAGTCGTTCAGCTTTTGTCTTAGTGGCATGTGGATGCGATACTGCATTTTGCGAAAACGGCGGCTTATATTTCCACCAAAGTGAGCACGGTTCGAGACCATACGTTCGTTTATGACCTGCACCAGAAATTTTACAGGAGGAATGTCCATGGTGCCGCACACAAGTCGATAAAAACAGCAAATTTGGCTAATATTCCCCGAGGATTTCCTTGCAGGACGTGGTGGTTTTGCAACTTTAGGAATCTTTGCATTACGTATTGGTAACCCATTTACACTTTCAGAGCAAATATTAGAAACATTCCCAGCTGTCTTTTTCTTCGGATAAAAAAAAAAAAAATCACGACTGTCTGTTAAGGTGGTCCTTAACTTTCATTGAAGTCTGTAGTTTATAATACAAAACATGACAAAATTTTATTGTTTTCCAATTTAGCTCCGTTTTCCTAAGACAACGCTATACACCTACACACTAAACAAAAATCATGCATACACTCGCATGTAATCACAGCACACACACACACACACGCACACACACACACACACACACACACACACAAACACAAACACACACACATATACACACAAACAAACACAAACACACACACACACACACACACACACACACACACACACACACACACATACACGCCACGGGCGAGGACATTTTACCGACCTGCGACTGCTCCAGTTGCAAAGCTGGCCATATTTCCCACGTAGAAGGCCCGGAAAACCACGTCCAGGATGTCGCTCTTCCTTGACGGGCAGATGGGAGTCAGGGTGCCTATGCTAATGCCAATGGCCGTGAAGGCAGAAAAACCACAAAGGGCGTAGGTAGATATCACTTCAGAACGCGGCTTGTAGAAGAAAAAGAAGGTGAAAAATAATATATTAAAAACAAAAATTGCTTGAATTTTTACTTTTTAATTCTTGCGACATAGTAATATAAGTTTAATGCCTTCGTCGACAATAACAAAACTTCGCTTTAAACAATTCCCACCCTTGGGCAGAATCACTTTTTCCCAGGAATCTCTGGATTAAATTCTAAAGCAAGAATGGGTAAGTGTGTCCAAATCAAGGGCCGGATTAAGCGATTGCGAATAATTCGTGAGCCAAAGCAGACGCAAATCGGATGAAGTCAGTTGAAATACCCAATCTCTCAAGAATGAAACTAAAACTGACAGATTAGTATAATATGTCACTCACGGACATTTCATTTTATTCAATTTTAGGTTTATTGCTTCAAGATGGGCCAGAAACTATTGATTCTAATTTTCAAGACGGACAGTTTTTAAAAATTAGTACTATTTAATACCGAGCTCACTGCAGGCCACATTTCACTACGTTATAAAGACAAAGTTCTATCTGACGTTTTTGGCCGTTTTGAATTACTTAGACCATGAGGTCAGAAATCAAATCTTCTGTCTGCTCTATCAAATTTGTAAGATTATTCAGAGTCGTTATCAAGGTGTACAAAGATGTGCATCCGGAACAGCTTAACATGAAATGAAACTCAAAATCTTAGACGTCAAATTTCTCACAACTAGTTACTGAGCAGGTAGAACTTTGTAATTGTGAGGTAGCAATTTATTATCAATTACTGGCTCGACTCGTGGGCCAGACTCAAGAGGCAGATCTGCTCCGTGGGCCGTGGTTTGCCCATGTCTGTTCTAAAGTATATTTATTACAAAGTTAATCAGAAGGTGTAAGAGGCTATTTGAGGACATTATGAAAAACATTGTCTAGTGTATTCTGGATACAATGTTTTGTTTTAACTTGTTTATTGTCTTTTAATACTCACAGACATAACGCCGTTTTTCAGAGTAGTGTTTGCAGCATCCAAGATGACGTCAAAGCCCTCCCAGTGAAACGTGCCATTGGTCACACTCAAGTAGTGCTCTAGGACTTTTCGATTCTGGGATTCGATAGAAGGAAACGGGAGTGTTATATATAGTCTCTGCTTTCTCATTCCAAACAGATAATTGTGAGATGAATCTGTCCAAGTATAACAAACAGACACGATTATACTATTGTTCATGGGGAAGAAAAAAAGCAGCCATGCAGACTCAAATAATAGATGTAAAGCGCAAAGAGCATGCTGGAGAGCGTGGACATGTGCTACATAAATGTCATTATTATTGTTATTACTATTGTTATTGTTATCATCATCATCATCATCATCATCATCATCATCATCATCATCATCATCATCATCATCATCATCATCATCATCATCATCATAACTCTGCTTGTCAGTTCAGAAAGCTGAGTGGCGTCGGTAGCCTAGTGGTTAGGCTACCGGACTCGTAATCGCGAGATTGCGGGTTCGGGGGTTCGAGCCTCAGCTCGGTCCGACGTTGTGTCCCGGGGATAGGCACTTTACACGAATTTCCCTCTTGGCTCGGTCCTTTTGGAGATGGACGCTAAACTAGTAGGTCCTGCCTCTTAAATAACCTAATAGTGTTGATAAGGGCGTTAAACCCATACCATTTCACCATTTTTTCAGAAAGCTGAGCACAAAATCGAGTTTTGGTTCTGCTATTCAGTTGAGCGTTTTTGAGCCTACTGCGTTCGAACTTAAAATCGTATGTGCGTAAGTATGTAAGTGGGTATATATGTAAACCTATGTAAGGTTAAATCATTTATACAATACAATCTAGGGGGCTCTCGTGGCCTAGAGGTTAAGGTGTTGGCCTCTCATTCAAAGGTCCCGGGTTCGAATCCGGGTAGCGACCGAAAAATTTTCTTCTCTAAAATTGTCTCCTTTCACCTCCTTTCCTGCTCTCTAGCAATGTTCTGTTGTCTGCTTTCAATTTCACTTTCTGCCCCCACCCCCTCACCTCCTTTGCCCCCTCCTCTGGGCTCCTGACTCTTTCTGCAGCCTTTCTACTGCTACTCCTTGGCTTCTCCATACTGCTGTCTTTCTGCCACACCCCTTATCTTCTGGTAGGAAAGATCTACACCTAGCCTTCTCGGACAAGGGCGAAAAATCTCGGAGGGCCCATGTGCAAGTTGCGCACGTTAAAGATCCCTTGGTGGTCTAAAATCGATAAGAGTAGGCTTCGGCCGCCACCTGGGCAAAATTCAAAATTTCCTACCAACTGAAAATATTAGGAGTGTCCCGCGCGCTCATATGACCTATGCAGTTGCGACCGCCGTAAAACACTTTACAAAAACAAACAAATACAATACGATCTGTAGCCTTTATATCATAACGTAACATAATGAGGCTCTAAATATTTATTTACGAACCCAATGAGGGTTATATCAAGTACAAATTTACCTCAATGATTTCTCCAAGATTTTTGTAGGCCACCATGGGTGTGGCGAAGAGCTTCACACCAATCAGAGCTCCAAGTCTTCCACAATCTGCAGGTTCCGTACCCATGACGTAGGCGAGAGGCCACAGCAAGTAAGAACAGATTAACTGTAGAGAGTGTAAATAACACAATGTAGTTGCATCACAAACAGAGCACTCGGACTCTTGCCGAGAAACCGAGTAGAGTGGACATAGTCCTAGACAGATCAGAGAAATCGTTTGAACCCTACACAAAACTTCCATGTGGCAGCTAAATAGTGTGACTCTCAATCTGTGACAGCAGGTTAGATAAAGCATAAAAGAATAGTCACGCTACTCAGCAATATGTGACATCTGTCTCAAGATAGCAGAACAGATTTCTGTAAACCTAGCGAGCAAAAGAAACACGGAAAACTATTTTGGCCATAACTAAATAATAATCAATGATAGAAGACTGAAGTTTACACCATCGATAGTAGGGTATGTCATATTCTCTTTCGAAATCAAAAGGCGCCTGTCTTGCTTGTCACCATCAACTGGTGTTAATGTGAAGAGTTACAAGATACATAACATCTGGTTATGAGTTCAGATAATGATAGGACCTGAGCATTTGTAACTGGTCGTTGGCACTGTTCCACCACCAAAGACGATAGCGCTACTGGACTCACTTTTTGCTTGAGGTAATAGTACTGATTACTTATGTTCACATTCTGACTGAAGAGTCAAGTGTAGCTTCCGTGTACAGGGGGTGGTAAAAAGACACAACGCATACCAGCAGGAGTTACAGCCCTTCAAACAGAAATAAACAAGATATTCAAGTACTAATAATTAAATCCATAAATATGTAACTCACTTCTTCCTTTCCACCCGTCTCCCTTCTTTTTTTTCTCTCGAGTAATAAAGACAAAAGTATAGCCCGTCAAAATAGCGTGTCTATGACTAGTGAGATGTTCAATCCAACACTCATATCCCTCTGAACTTACATCAAAACTGAGGCCCTCGTAGCCGGCCCGTTGGCCAAACCAGTCTAGAATCGCATCAGTCATGGCGAGTAGGGAGAAAAACGCTAACATGTTAGCGCTGATCGGGGCCATCATCTTCAGGGCAAGAACGGCGCCATCTGAACAAACGGACAGCAAGTTTTGGCTTTTACTGAGGAGAAAAAAAACATTTAGGAAAGGGTGTTTTGAGTAAAAGAATAAAATTTTATTGAGGCTCGGACAACAGGTCTTTGTTCGAGTACATGAATCAGAAATGTCTGTTTTCCTCTCGGGAATAAGTGTTCATCATAAAAGCTAAGCTTTATCAGTATTTAGGATATACTTTAGGAGTGGAATGAATAAATGATATAATGGAAAAATATAATCTGTCAACCTATCAATCAGTCAATCAATCATTTAAGAAATAATTTGGACTTACTCAGACGTGTCCCTCATTTTGATGTTGGTTTGCTTAGAGAGGTCCACAATCTCTGTCTCCGGGTACGTCAGTTTGGACAAGGCCAAGGCAGCAGGGGCCGAGATAATGGCCGCCGTCAGCAGATGACCGGGTGGGGCCTGAGGGAGGAAGGGATACCACAGGTGAACACAGGTGAAGAGGGTGCTGGTTTGAGGACGAAAGGGAGGAATGCCGCAGATGGGAAGAGAGGAAGAGGGTACATGTTTGAAAATGGAGAGAGGAAACACAAAAAGACTTCTGGTTTGAGGAGAGGAGCGGTTGGAAGAGGGAACACAAATCTACAATTCTAATTATCTTTGCCCATTTTTCTCTTTTGAAGATTTGAGTGTCTACTGTCAATTTCCCTGCTTTGTATCTGTTCTCATTTTGAACATTTCTTAGCTCAAAAGTGATATATGCCCGTATGCCCTAAGGGAAGATACTGTATCTAGGGAGATTGTTACTAGAGTAAGCTTGCTTTGATGGGGGATATACAGTATTCGCCCTCTTTGTTTTTGCATCTTGCTGTACATTGAAACAGTGCTGCCAATTGTTAATGTCAATAAAAACTGTCCGATAGACCACACATACCATTAAAAAACAATTTTGAACCAAATGCTACGGAATTCGCTGAGCTTCATCTTTATTCGAATACTTAAAAGGTTTTTATTCTGCAGAAAAAAAATTATCCGTCAGAAATTACTGAAAATAAACTGTTCTTTTTTTTGTTGAAAATCCAATAAGCCTTCCTCTCACCTGGAACACTGTCCTGCCAGACCCGCATGGCGCCAATTCTCAAAAGCACATGCGTTCGCAAAATGCATTACATCTTTAGTGTGAACGCACATCAACACACATGCGTGTTTGAATGTGTGTATAATGTGGTGGCGTTGAGTGTTCGAATTGGTTTCACTTTTGTTGTATTATAAGAGATTAAAGTGAAGTGTAATTCCCAAGGGTTTTTCCAGCTCTTTGTTGTTGGTATTGTGCTGCCTGTTTTTGCTTTTATTATTTAACATGAGTTAGCGTAAATGTACGCTAGTATGGTTTATAAAACGTTTTATCCATATCTAAAACAACATAGAAACGAAACACGACACAAGCCCATAGTCAAAATGACATGACGCTTGCTTACACCGTATTTGATGAACATGGTCATGATCCCTCCAGAGATGCTGGCGAACCCACACGTCATGATAGCGTGAAGTTCCGACTTAGTCACGTTTGGAATGAACGGACGAATCAAGAGAGGAGCCTCACTCTGTAGAACAACGAAAATCCCCTTGAAATCACAATCGTGGTACATGTATATGGCAATGGTTATATGTTTCCCCTTTCTTCTACTTCACCTTAGAAATAATTAAACATACATTTTGTTAGATCTAACAAAAACCGTATCACATAACCGCATCCCTCTTGACAAAGTTTTAACATTTTTCTTTTGTGTTTATACTTCAATAAATTGGTTTCTTTGTTATTATCTTACCATTTAAACTGTATTATTTCATACCCAGGTCATACATTTCTCAATAATGTAATTCTGTATTTAACAACGTCTTTATCGTTAAAATAGCCACATGACAATGCAATGAACATCTAGGTTGGAGGAAAGAGTTAAACAAACTTCTTTTTAGTTGGTTATTTTAGAAGCCAAGTACGGACAAAGTGATTGTCATTTCAAGTACATTTATATTCAGTGAGCCAGTATAAGTGCACTGGAAGCAGTCAATAGCACATGATATGAATGCCGAATGAAGAGATGAGGGAGACGTTCAACTTCGACCTGTCGTATACGGCGCTCATTGCCGTGTAATGCACCCCTACCACTCCCCCCCCCCCCACCCGAAACAACCGTCGTGGTGTGGTTCACTACATGGAAACTTAAAAAAGGAATCAAATGAGGAGGCATGTTTTTCGTCTTCCCGAAAAGGTTCTATTTTTGCTGAATATCTAGTTGTTTATGCCTTGGAGGACGTTATGCCTCGGAAGTAAGTGCAAATTTATATTTTCTGTCATTCCCCTTTTATTTTTATTTAAATAACTCGGTCTGGTGCTCAGAAAGGACCAATGGTGTGTCTAGTGGAACCTGCAACTTTTATAAATGCAAAAGAATCTAAAGAGTTTTGCTAGGGTTCTATCATTGAAAAAAATGTTATTTACCAGACAGGGAAAACGTTTAAAAAATAACAATCACAAAAACAAAGCAATTAATATAAATTATAGGAGCTACTTGGCAGAAACTATAATAACAATTACTCCAAAGGCAGCATCCTAAATAACAGCTCGATCCGGAGAAATATATAGCGCCCCCCCC